TTACAATGTTCTTGGTTATGCAGAAGCTTTTAGTTTGATCAGATCCCAGTAATATATTTTTGGTGTTGCTTCAATTGCCAAAGGGATCCTCCTCATAAAATATTCTCCAAGGCCGGTTTCTTTAAGTGTTTTCCCTGCACTCTCTCCAAGTATCTTTATAGTTTCATTCTTAAGTTTAAATCTTTTATCCAGTGATAATCAATTTTTGTTAATGGTGAAAGGTGGGGGTCCAGTTTCAGTCTTCTATAAGTCACCAGCCAATTCACCCAGCATCATTTGTTAAAATAGGGAATCTTTTCCCCAATTTATGTTTTTGATGGGCCTATCAAAGATCAAATGACACTACGTGGTCAGTGGATGCATTTGGAATCCCAACCTCACTCTTAGGACCATGATGGGACCAGGTGCCGGTGGTGGGGAAATGGTTATGGGGGGAGAGAGAGAGAGACCTTTCACTCTCAAATCCCTCAATTCCCCATTTGGAAACATCCCAACTCTCCTCTTTTTCACGAACTCTTCAGAACTGTTAATACTTTGTCTGTAGCGCCTCAGTGCCTCATATTCACTTTTCGACCTACTTTATTTTGGTTTCTATTTCTGTGATTTCAACATCTCTTCCTAAGTTTACAACTGACATTTTAAACTTTTGCCTTGGTTTTCTAACTCATCATTCACCTTCACTTCATGGTGCAGCGTTTTCTCTCTGTGCTCCTGTGCACTCCGTGCTGCCGGGTCTCTTCATACCTCTGTGCTTGCTTCTTTCCCTCTCCTCTGGAGACTGACACTTCTCTAGAGACAGCCTGTAGAATATTGCAATTACTCAAAGTATTAAATAACAGAGCAACACTAACAGACACATCACAAAATTTTCCCTGGTTCACTGTGCCCTTTAAAGAAATTGGAAGACCAGCATAGCTGGTATGACCCATGGGTCACAAGAAGAAAAGTACCTTAGAACTCTCAGTCTGGAGACAAGAGGCTTAGGACCAGCCCTTTTAATTTTTTAAATTTAATTTCCTCATTCATAAGACAGGACTAAGTCTAGGTAACTCATATGGGTCTAATTACAGGATTTATCCATTGCACTGCTCTGTTATCCATCTTTGCCCTCCACTTTATTGTGAACTGCCCCAGGGAAAGGCCAACCATGGATCAATCTTTGCATCCTGGTAGTGCCCAGCACCAGCAGAGGGACAGTGTGGCACAGTGAAGGTAGGGTCTGGCTCTATGCTTCCTTCCTGAAATCTTCCATTCTTTCACCTGCAGGCTGTTTCAGGAGGAAATCATGGATCTAGGTTCTTATGGGCCTTTGCATGGAACCTGTTATGTAAATTCTTCTGCAACAGTTTACCAATGCCCCCTGGCAATAGCCATGGCAGGTGTTCCAAATCTCTACTCTGCTTGGGCACTCACTCCTCCCTGCCCTGGGCTTCAGTCAAGGTCTTCTAACAAAAGGAAGGTTATCTGGCATCAGAGATTTAATCTGCCCATTTCCTCCTCTCACTCTTCCTCTTATGCTTTTGTGTTGGTCTTCCCACATTGAACCCCTTCAAAACTCCAACTACTGTGTTAAGGGCAGAATGAAATACTCATTTCATAGCCTTGTCGTTTCCATACCAATGTCTAGGACTGGCTGTCTATGAAGTTTCTGTGCCCCCGTCCATCCGGCTCATCTGATCTCCTCAACACCCCATTCATCTCTTTCAGCCTCTCTTGCCCGTTTCTTCCCTCTTGCTGCCTCTCTCAGAGCCTTCCATCCTTCCTTTCTATCAGCGCCAGCTCCCTAAGGAATGAGCACCAGACTCCCTGTCTTCAGAGTAACAATCATTTTGCTTTGTTCTGCCTCTTCACCTACCTTCCCACCTGCTGTCTCCTATTTATTCTCTTAGCAGGAAAACTCCTTGACCTGGAATGTCTCCGTTTCTTCACTGCCCACTCTATAGGTCCTGTATTTCTCCTCCTGCTCTTTCTTAAATCTCTCTGACCCCAGTAAGTGTCCTTAGTTCAAGTTAATTGGATAATAATTCATAATACATTCATTATGTGCCCAACCTAAAGAAGGGCTCCAGGTGACCTTAAGAAATGAAAAACAAAATGGCTCTGGTGCCCATAGGTTAGTGGTTAGGGTGCTGGCCACGTAGACCAGGGCTGGTGGGTTCGAACCCAGCCTGGGCCTGCTAAACAGCAATGACAACTACAACAAAAAAAAAATAGCCTGACATTGTGGCAGGAACCTATAGTACCAGCTACTTGGGAGGCTGAGGCAAGAGAATCGCTTAATCCCCAGAGTTTGAGGTTGCTGTGAGCTGTGATGCCACAACACTCTACCAAGGGCAACATAGTACAACTCTATCTCAAGACAAAACAAAACAGTGTGAACCACCATAGAGTTTTAATGCCTAATTAGGAAAATAATTTGAGTGGACAAGGAAATACATAAGGAGGCTACATATGATTTCTGGTTGTGGAGTGAATAACAAATGAAAACATGAATGAATGATGTCCTGAATGAGAGGTATCAACACAAATACTTTAATTAATCATAGACTAGATTTCTATTGGCTGGGTGGTTAGAGAAAGGACTGAGGAAGAGATAAGTCTTGAGGAACACTTTTGGAAGAGCAGAAGACACATAGGGCAGGGGCCGAGAATGAGATGGGATTTGACAAGATAGATTTTCTTGCTTTTCCTATCTCAGTGAGGAGAAACGTAGGGATCATCCTAGACTTCTTCCCTACTGTACCCACATCCAGTCACCAGTTCCCGTGAAAAACATACCCCAATATCTCTCTCACCCCTTCTGGCCTCTCTGTTCCACTGCAACACCCACATCCAGACTACTGTCACACCTTATCTGAATAATGCAATAGCATTTGCCTGGCCTCACTAGTTCCAGCCTCACTGCTACCTCTCTCCACTCAATTTATTCTCATAAATGTTAAGCTCTCAAGACCTGGAGTTAGACTTCCTGGATTCCAACACTGTCCCCACATCCTTAGGCAAATTGCAAAATCTGTCTGTGTCTCAGTTTCCACATAATGGAAAACGGTAACACTACCTCAAATATTTATTATGAACATTAAACTAACTTAATCCATGCAAATCATTTTAGAATAGTACTTGGCACTAGTAAGGACACAATAAATATTTAGCTGTCTTTATTGGCTTCAATAACGGTGGCTTCAGGTCACCTGTCAGAGTGACCTGCTATCTAATCATCTCCTTTTCCGTCTTTAATCTCATCAGTGGATTCCCATGGGCTTAATTCTGAACTCCTTACTGGGCCTACCATGCTCTGACTTCTGCCCTGCTTGTGCTCTTAGCACCCATACTTCTCTCTGAGGCTAAACAGCTCCCACAATCCAGCTGGCTCTGGCTGTTTCATGGTCTGTTCACACACTTTTCTTCCCTGTTGAACTCTTTTCCTCTGACATGGTAGGACACTACCTTACTAGACCATATGCCCCATGAAGGCAGGGCCATGTCAATTCTGCTCCAGGCTGCACCCCCAGTGCTCAGGGAAATCCACTCAATATTGAAGAAACAGATGAAAGCATCTCCTAGGCTACGAAACTTTTTCTGCATCCTCTCCTCACCTGCATCCCTTCTCCCCAACCTGGACAAAGTTCATTACTCTCTCCTTTGTCTGCTATCCACTTTCTACGACAGCTGGATAGTCTTAGGTGGCCCTTGCCTCCCCTCTGCCCTGTGAGTTCCCAGGATGTGCCCACTGCAGGACCTGGGACACGGTGACGGCTCAGCACGTTTACTGAGGGCAGGAGCAAGTCAGGGAGGAGCAAATCTCTGGAATCCCTCATGGGTGGGCTGCAATGCTGTCTTGGAATCCAGCTCCACAAATCTATAGAAATATCTTATCTATTAAAAATTTATTTATTATTAAGTAATGATGTATTTCCACATTTTAATTGATCAAAGACATATGTTGCCATACCGAGTTATTGTAACTTCAGTCAAAAGTCAGTGACGTTGTACTGCCCTGTTTGTAGACAACTGTATGGTTTCCTGTGGGCCGTGTAACTATCCAGGCCTTTCCTTGACCTTGCTCACTTCTTATCTCTGTGTTAGACATGGAGGGGGCTGTCAGAAGAGCACTGGGAGAGATGCAGAAAGTTTTCTGGGAGACTCATGGGTCTCATTTCTTCCTAGAGGCACCACTATCCATGCTGATCAGGTTTGCACAGCATCTCCAACCCCCTATACTCTGGTCCAGAAAATCCAATTCAGTGGACGTTTGAGCAGGAAAGTCAAGAGAAGGAAGGAGTCACTGCTCTCCTTCTAGAATCAGATTTTTGAATTGTAACAAGTATTAAAAACCAGTCTTCAGCCATAGTAAATAATTTTCTAAATTCCTTTAGCCTCCATTAACGTGCTCTTTGTCAATCAGGGACAGAGAAAACACAGGCAATAGCATAAAGAAATGTTCTACGCCCTCACATGGGCAACTGGAAATAGCTCCTGGGGGACGTGGGGACGCACTTGGAATAGGGTGGGAACCAAGTGCAAACCATGTAATAATACCAGCACACCACTAGTAGAAGTATAATGGTCACATCTCCCCAACCCCCGCTCCGGTAAATTTTGATAGAATGCCAAAGAGGAAAAGATGGTCTTTTTGCATAGCAGTCTCTTATCTGTGATAGAAAAACAATGACCTTAACCTTGGCATTATTTCATATTGTAAATTAAGATCTTTCGCGATTGAAAACTGTCCCACTTAAAATATGACACTCCGGAGCATGTGAGCAGTCGTCCTGAGGAAGGGCGTGCACCGATGGGTACCGGCTTATAACCTGGGCGCGCGCCTGCAGCCTCTCCCGGAGACCGCCTCTCCCGCTACCCTTCCGCCTTCCGAGAAGCAGGAGCATCGCCGAGGGCTCACAGGGATTGGGGGTGGCTGATTCTCCGCCAGATCCCCGCTGGAGAAAGCTCACCCTCTCCTGGGCCCTCTAGATCACAGGCGTTCGGCGCTGCGCGGAGCGATGGAGTCCTCGTGGCTGGAGACGCACTGGGCGCGGCCCTTCTACCTGGCGTTCTCGTTCTGCCTGGCCCTGGGGCTGCTGCAGGCCGCCAAGCTCTACCTGCGGAGGCAGCGGCTGCTGCGGGACCTGCGCGACTTCCCCACGCCCCCCGTCCACTGGTACCACGGGCACCAGAAGGTAGATGGAAGGGAAGGAGAAGGAGGGCGCTGCCTAGGAAAGCGGCGGGCAGAGAGGCGGCTGCTCCTTTCCCTCCCTCCCCCAACCCTCTGTCCCCTCCGTCCTGCGCAGCCCTTTCTAGCCAGCCTGGGGCTCTCAGCATCGTTTCATTACTCTAGACTTGCTCTCTCACAGCCCTGCAAGAAAAGGTCTCCGGGGAGGAAGCTTAGGGAGCTGGAAGACAGCTATTCAAAAAGCCTAAATATTGAAAAAGCAGGGTGTAACTCAGGGTTATCTCTAATTGTTCCACCAGCCGTTCGTATTTATACACTGAACTGTAAAAAGCCTTCCGCAAGTATTGCTTAAAACATCAATAATACGTATTAATTACAGAAAATATGCAAAATCGGAAACAATAGTTGGTGCCCTTAGTCCATTCTAATTAGAGATTCTTGTGACACAGGGAGCGGCTCCAGCGAACCACTCGGGAAATACTGATTGATGGAAATTTGTAAAGTAGAGAGAGACTTTTTGGTGTTTCCTGTTCTCTAAGTCCGCTCTTGCCCCATTCTTTTTTTTTTTTTTATTCCTTCAACCCAACTGGGAGTGGCAGGCTTGTGATAGGTATTAGGATCCCAAAAGAAAATACCCCCCGAAGGGGCCCAAGGCAGGTGCAGACTTAGACCACAAAGAGAAAGTGAATTGTACGATAAGGAGGGCTTTAGTAGGGCGCCAGCGGACATCTCTGCCAGGAGAGGAGGAAAGAGCATCTGGGAAGGGCTGAGCAGAGTCTCAAAGGACCCCGGGGTAGGGAGACTGTTTCCAGCAGTCTGGTCCTTGGGCCCCTCCACTAACGAGTCCTTCTTCCCTAAAGCAACCACTGTCAACTCTTTTATCTATTTCTTCTGTATATAAATCCTTACTTGTAAAATAAAATAACTATATTACCTTTATTAATTTACTAATTTTAGATATCCATCTACGACCTTCTTATGACAGATAATCACTTACAGTTTATCTTCCACTGTCCCAATATAGTTACATTGACTTTTTAATCAAATAGAAAAATTAGTATCATATTATTTTGATTATTTACTGCTGATCTAAATGATTCCCTTGGATTTTGTTCCTTTCCTCAGAGATTTGACCCCACCCCGTAATACTGTTAGCTTCCTCTTTTTCTCATTTACTTATTTTTGACTTTCACTATTTTATTCCAAATGCTCTATTAGATCTGCCAAACAGATCTCAATAATCTTTCCAAATATTCGAACATATCAAATAATCTATCTGTCAGTCCATATGCTTTTCTGGAAACAATTTTCCCATAGACTCCTCCTGTTCCAATCAAGACTGATGGTT